CCCTGTTTTTAATATTATTTATATCCTATATACACAATATGTATACACTTGAAATAGAAGAGTTACATATCCTGGTGATATACATGCAAACAGTAGGAATCAGCTAACCACAAATAGTTTTGAGCCACATACATATTAAACATGTATTTTAAAGTGTTTTTTTCTTTTTTTTTTTACAGTTTTAACAAATATACATAAATATAAGAACATAAATTACAGTAAAACTGACAGCATTTTTGAGAAAATGTTTATAACGCAGATGCATTGATGCCTAAGGCCTTATAATAATTTAGAAAAAGTACTGTTCTAAACTGCTTAATGACATCTCATTCCTGTGCATCTTTTAATAAGTAAATGAGCACATCATAGTAGTGAGGCATAGTTTCTCTCCAAGCAGTTTAATGAGAGAAAGGTGAACATAGTTTTAGTCTCTCCATGAAACAGAATGGACGACATACTTACAGCACAATACTGTCTTATGTTAATGTAGTTGTCACAACACTGAAACAGAACAGAATCACAAATCATTCGAGTCTTTTCCTGAGAATGAGATTTTTTTTTTCCCCCAACAAATCCTCTGGTGTATATTATCAAAATAGCCGCAGATTTAGGGGAGGCTTCAAGTTTGTAGTTTCTTTTTTTTTTTTCTTTTTCCCAGAACAGTGCTATGTTAAAAGCAAATTATAAGAGAAACAAACACTGAAAGAGAATAGCGATCTACAAAATAATCAAACACTGTTTTGAAATAAAATGCAGCCCTTTATAAATAATACTGAAATATGCCTAGAGTTTGTTTTTGTAAATGGTTATATCACAAATTCCTTGAAATGTCATTTAGGCTTTTTTGCCACATGTATTTAAACTCGCTAAGTGTCACAAGTCATAATCTGTTAGATCGTGTCAAGAAAACAATTTACTAAGACACACTGAAAATTCTTAACAGATGTCTATTTCCTAGAAAATTGACTTAAGTCTGAGCTGGCAGATCTGAAGGCAGGAAGAGCAGAGTAGCCTGGATCTTAAAAATCAGTGGAAATTAGATACACGACTTCTGAAATATCTGTGACTTAGTGAATTCTGTGATTCTTCTGATTATTTTTAGTGTTCTGTCAGGCAACCATCAGGGATCTAGTTCTGAATGTTTCACAAGCTCCTATTCCTTCCTTGGAGAAGGAGTACCTGACCCTGTGCTCACTCTTCATCTGGAACAATGCAAAATAATACTTACTTGCTTGAAGTGTTTTAGAGGTCTACCAAATCTTTTTACTTTGCATTTTAATGGTATTATGAACATGCACATGGTCAGTCATTAAATCTCAGGTGGTAACTTACTGAAACAGGAATAATTGCATCAGCTAACTATACCCTGAGTTGTAAATAATTCATTTGAAGGAAACTTCAAGCAGTTCGAAGGTTTTTCCTTTAACTGTTTAGTGGATAAGCAAATCAGTATTATTTAAGTGAAAAAGAATTATAAATACTCAGGGGAATGAATCTTGATTTTGTTACAGCACACAATGAGGATCTTGCAGAACAGACCCATTCAGCTGTTCTTCAGTGACATACAACTTATCATTTAGTCTTTACAGTAAGTCAGTATGCAAAGTTCAATGGTATTGAGAATATGAAGTACTTCTTTAGTGAAAGAAAAAGTATTTCAAGACAAGCACAAATACAAACATATAAGGCAACAGATGTAAAAAAAATGTAGTTTGAGTCACTAAAGATGAACATTCAGTGCTTCAGTGTATCTAATCAAAATACAGAGCAAATATGCTCTATATATTGTATTAGCACATACAAATCTCCACACAAGTCAAACATTTCCATAATCACTCAATTATTCACCTCAGTGATAATCTTCTGCACTCCTAAACACTGTGTTTACATTCCAGTTGGACATGATAATAGAACTTGGTGTCCAGTTTTAAGAGTCTTGTTGGCAACTAGAAATCTATTTCCTATAGGCAGTATAAGATGAAGTGCAAGTTTATTGTAATTTTCTGAAGCAAATTTTTTTCCATCTACTATGCCTTGGTGGGTAAAAGTTTCTTAGGAGTTACTGGTCTCTTGGTTTGCCACAAATGGCTGTGAATGGTAATTGCATCAACACTGGCAGACAAAGTTTTAGCAGGTATGTGGCTAAACTGCTTCCTGTCAGAGTTGTATTTATACAGTCCCTCTATCATTTTCTTTGTGATAGATTTGGGACCTATTCCCGTTAATTTATTGATTTCTTCAGTATCAGGGCAGTACGTATACAGAGATCTGAACTGGCAGCCTGAATCCCGGAACAAGATTAAGAAATTATTGGCATCAGATTTTTCCATTTCCTTTAAAAGAAAAAAAGAAAAAGATTTACAATATGAATTTTACATTGCAGGTAGAAAATACTCAAAATCATTGTACTGTCATTTTGAACTTTTTTTTCCCTATCAGAGCTAAAACTTATGTCTCTTTCCACTAAAAGATCTCATTTTCAATCATTACAATTTGCTAAGCTTCACCTATCTGAATTTTCATACGGTAGCTATGTTCCTCAAGCAAAACCTTATTTATTTAGACAATTTCAGCTACATTTGTTTAGTTGTACCTCAAGAACAGACATCCTAATAAATTTTTTGTAGACTAAATAAAAATTCTTTGATCCATTTCATCAAGCATGTCTAATAGTTGCAAGCTTGGGAACAGGAAATTTAGTTATGTCTAGATGTTCCCGAAAGATCCTCCAGTGCTAAAATGGGGTTTCAGTCATCCCTAAATCCATTCAGGTTTGGTCAAACCATAAAGTCAGTTGACGTGTATTAAGCAAAAGTTCTTTATTAGCTGAAATCTTCAGATTCCTATTCCACCCCATACAACTTTTACGGGACATGGGCCCTGAACATGTACAGCTTCTACCAGGTAAAGTATGCTGCATCCTAGAGTTGAGCACGACCTTTTTGCAGCTGTTCTTTCCTAGGATTTTGGGGGGTTATTATGCTCCCAGTTACTTGAACTGAAAGGGGCTGTCCTGATTTCTCACTTGTTATTTCCAAAAAGTAGCTGGAAAGACAGAGAAGGCAGCATCTATATATGAATGCAGAAGAATTAGAGAGAGAAAAGAGGGCAAGAAATACTGTTGTGAAAAGAGTTTAATTCCAGAAAAGGAATTAAATCCAGATTCCAAGTACCTGTGTTCTTTGATCTATTTAATCTGTCAAATTTGTCACAGTTGGTAAAAGGAACAGTCCCATTTCTCTCAACCCTCAGATTCCCTTTTGCATGGAAACACACTGGTTGCTGAGTTCTCTCCCTGACAATATTTGTGCATCTTCAGAGAGGTTTATACCAGCATAAGAGAAAAGGCTGGAAGGCAGTTTTCTTTAGTAGAAAGTCCTGAATTTGCCCTACTGCTTGGAAATTGGAGAAAAGACTAGGAGGGATGTATTTCACTCTTTCTCTTCATGAGAGCTGTGCTTTAGTTCTAAAGGTCCCAGTCTAAGGATCTGTATGTACAAGATGGATATGTTACAGAAAATAAGTTTGTGAGCAAATTATAAAAGTCTACATAGTGAAGTTCCCACATTAAACAAGCAGTAACTATTAATTCACACATCAATTAATTCACCTTCCTGTGCTTCATGTACCATGCAACAGCTCTTGTTCCTACAGTACTAGAGAACCTTTCTGTCTACACAGCAAGTCACAGAAGTTACTCAAGCCTTTCATTAAGAGCTGGCATAACCTTAGAAGATTCCTTTCGGTATTTGCATTTATACTTGAGTGTCTTCGTAACAACTGACTGTGGTTTGACTTGGTTGTTTATGGTTTAGGGGAAAAATACCCTTACCTCCAGTATCTTCTTCTTTTGACCTTCATTTACTTTTCCAGCCAAGCAGCAATGTGCCAGCGCATTCTGAATTATATACTTATTGGATTTAGCACTGGGTTCTTTGAAGAGCTTTGGTCCTATGGAGAAAGAATGACAAATCAGCTAAGTTAATCAATAAGCCAACAAAGAGTTACTTTAAACACTCTGAAGCACTTCTGGTATGGATCTTTTGCATGCATAAAAATACAATAAAATAGAATTAGGCTAGAGACCACAAATTTCACAAACAAGTAAAATGTCATTCTTTCAGCTGTTGCTGCATTTGCTTACAAATCTGTCTTTCATTATTAAATCATTATTATTGGCAGTCTTGGTAAGTCTCTCTCAGAGAGACTTTTCTATGAACAACAAAACATTTTGCATTTTCTAACTGAAATCTCAGTCGACTAGGAGGGAGCAAATTATTTTCCTTCATCTACATCTGTGACTTCAAGAGTGAGCAGTGTAACAATGAAACCAATGGGAGTGCTTAGAGAAAGCTCCTCTGTTTTAATTCCTGAAATATATGCATACTTGTATCAAGACCATTTGAAAAAAAGAAACAAAACCAACATGCAAGTACCAATTCCAGGTCTTAGAAAGGAACACAGTATACAAGCAACTACCAATTAAATTTAAGTTTAAATCTCAGTTTGTCTGCACCTTGGGGAAAAAAAAGCCTAGAATCAACACAAAAAAGCTGTACGAAATCTGACTGACAGAGCGAACAAACATAGTAAAGTGTGTGAAAAAAGCTGCCTGTTCAATTCCTAGCAACTATATATTCCTGCATTTTAAAATAAGCTCTACATAATAATAATCAAAAGATGATATTCAGCATTATGGGTCTTCATGAGAAAACTCAGCAAGACCACGCAGGCAAAGTCTTGCTGTCCCTCCTGTAATTGAATTTGACATGTACAGGGAACAAACTGACACAAACTGACTGAAGTTTCATGGTTTAAAACCAGGTAAGTACTTTCTGATTCTCAGAATGAACACTTTGCCTTTCCAGATTGTAGTCATTCCAACAGAAAGGAGGTAAGACTATTTTCAAAACCAACATTTGCCAGCACAAACAGAGCTATGCAGGCCTTTCAATCAAACCTCATCTCCCTAAAACTTAACTGAAAATACCTAGTGTTATTTTACTCCTTACCAAACAAAGTGACATTAGGTGGGCAAAACTTTTATAACCCTGATGATGCAAGGTCTCTGCAATATCACATGCTGTCTATTTGGAGAAAAGAGATGAAGATACCATTATTATTTGATTCATTATATAATAAAAAAATTAAGTCAGATTGTAAAGTTTTTAATAAACAATAAAGGATCTGTTTGGAAACAAAGGGTGCAGAATATTTAAATTCATGTTACTTAGCAGATTTTTTTCGTGCTGCAATTTGGATTTTGCTTTTTGTAACGCTATTCTAAATTGAACTTAAATTTCAACTCTTCTTGCCTTGCCAGAGAGACTACTGAAGTGCATAGTGACCTGTGAGCCCATCTGCTGTTCTGAGCCTAACTGCAGTTCATTCTGGTTATCACAAATGCTACTAAGTCAGTACTTTTATTTTGGATTTAAAATTTTAACCTTGTATTATTACCATCTATTTTAAAGGAGGTAAAAGCAACATTTCTATGAAAGCATACTCAATCAAGTTTTATTTCAAGAAACCAAATAAAGATAACTTAAAACTTTTCACGCATAGAACCACTAATAGCCAGGTACTTTTCTGAGTATTGTTGTCTCTGACCTGTGTATTCCGTAGCAGAGGCGACTGAAGAAGTTGTAGATGCGTTTTCCCAATCTTTCTCTCCATTACGACTACCACAGCGACTTGGAGATAAGAATCCTTCCACAGACTCAGACCTAAACATTAATTTAAAAATCTATTAAAAAAAAATTTACAATGTTCAGCAGAGAAGCCTTCTAATATGAAAGGAAGGCAAACTGCATTAAGGTAGAACACAGTGATTTAAATTGTAGACTATAAACCTAAATGCATAATATTTACAGAAGAAATTAATGGATAACTGAGTTCATGTTCAGTACGAAAGCATTTTGAGTGACAAAAAGTTGGTATTTAAGTGAGATGAATATTAGTAAGTTTTTGGGCTACATCTGAGGGACAGAAACCTAACAGACATTCTAGGCTGTGCAATATTATTACTGAGGGGGAATTTGGGTTACTTTTACATCAGTACTAGCAAAACAATGTTATCTCATGTAGCAAACCAGTTCTTGTTAGAATTATTAATGTAAAGTAAAAATTTAGTTCATTTATACTTATTAAAACAACTGGCAGTGAAAACTGCTGTATTTAAGACAGCAAAACAATTTCCTTTCTAATTTTTGTTTTCACAAGCAGTAACTTCAGGTGCTGCAATTCTTCAGGCTTTGCACTCAAACATTAATAGTTTTGCATTTAAAGGTCTAAGCAGACTGTAATGTTTCTTAGACTATTACAAGACATTGTGATTGTGGCTACTGCAAAAGCCAGTCAAATTTTCAGCTTGGAATGAAAGCTTTCCTAAGTGAGAAGAAAGACATTACTAGCAAAGAATAAGGAAAGAAATGTTATTGTAATAACATTTATCTGCATACTAGATTCCAGTAAGATCAGCAATAGAAGAAAATTCAATTTATAACATATCCTACATCTTTTCGATGAGCATTTGCATGAAGGAGACTTCAAAGGTACCACTGAAATTCACTCAGTGCGATTATCAAAAGACAATTCTGATGTCAAGAAAAAGTGAAAGTATGGGTCTGGAAAGATACTGAAAATACTTTCACCACTGTTACTTTCAGCAATTTGTACTGAATTTTATCATATTTTAAAAGTCTCAACCCCCTAAATCACATCCAAAGGCAGAGGAAGATGTACTGTTCATTACAAGCATAGTAGAGCAATGTACAACTGAAAATACACAGACAGGGGTCACGTCCTGTAAATTCTGTGTAGATAAGCTACATCAAGCCTTTCTAATAGCTATTATAGCTGGAAGAAATCCCCCTCTCAAGTAAAACTGATCATTTTTAAGAGATAACAGAGATGTTTGCATACTTGGATCATTTTATTAAAGTTTCTTACGTAATAACCAGAAAGTCAGTTCTCAAGACATCAAGGAAATTGTAAAGTCAACTGAAACCACCTACAGGCATGTCAGAGTTAATAAGTGATGCACAGTGGCCATGAAAACATGATGTGATACCGTAACATGTAGCACTCTTATCAAACCCCTTTTCTTAATTTGCTTTTCTTCCCTATTTCCTTTCTATTAAAAAAAGTATTTCTCTGAATATAATTAGGTAATGACACAGAAATAATAATTTTGCTCTGAATTGTAATATAGATTTTGTACATAAAATGAAGAATTTAAGAATTAAGGTGATTTTTAATGCAAAATAAATTCAGGTATTTGGAAAAGGCTGAAGTCCTATTGAACATTTAATACTTCCCTATATGGCTATAAGAGGAAAAAAAACATAAAGGCTCCTATGTCAAAAAAAGAAAATAAGCTATGTAGCTGCTTGTAGCATATAGGTTTGATAAAATATCCACAAGTTGAGACTTGAATACAAACAGGTGAATTAAAGAGGCTGTGTGAAAAGCATTTTGTTTTGACCTCATTTAGAGCTGCCCAACTGGTTTACTTGGTAAAATTTGTGAAACAAATGATCATGGCTTGGTTCCCTAATGCCTGACAGTGGAAACAATCAATGTTTCAAATCAGGAAAAACATACCTGTTCTTGGAGCCCACAGTACATACATGACCTCTTTAAAATTCATGCTAGTTTTACATAACTGATTATTAAATTTAATAAATGAAACTGTTATTTTAGCTTTACCTTGGTGTTCTCTTGCCTGACTGCACACTCTCATTGTCCCCTGTATTCAGCGATGCCAATGAAAGACTAGATACTGAAAAAACACGATAAAGCTGTGAACCTGGATAAAAACAAAGTTAGGGCTTATAAACCTATGCAGTAGTAGAGTCTGTTCATTAGACCCAACACCAGCATCAGAAAGTCGGTAGGTAAGAGCTTTTATGTAAGAGACTCTTACACCCACACATGATATACCTGCATGCATATGGGGTGCACTTCCTCTAAACACTGGCTGACCCAGCCATTTACAGGCACCCAGGAAGGTGTTGGACTAGGCATTAATGTGAAGCATGGACATGGAAATGCAGGCACTATGCACATCAAATAATGCAATCAAAGTTAACAAGTTCTACACAAGAGAGTTTAAGAGACTTAACTTAAAGCTTGGGATGGATTCTTAGAAGGTGTTAAGGGAATACTTTAAATTACATTGGAAGATGGACAGAAGCAGCTAGAGAAAATGCAGTAGAATAACAAGGCTACATGACACTCTTAACAAAAATGATCACTGAGCAGTCTGGTTACTTTTTTATAATTGTAAATTGGCAATACTTCTTCCAACCACTATTGCAGTTATGTGATCCAAAAGAATGCTAAATTGTTCTACATGATAAGTGTTGTTAGGCTGATAACTATACATGCAGTAAGTAAATGAGTGAAATTAAAAAACCCCATAAAATATAAGAGTAACTTTTTTATTTTATTTTTGTCTATATTAAGCAGGACATTAAGTACTCTTAATAATCACCATTTTATCTATTTATATCTCCCAACTTTTATTCATTTTAGCTCTACAGGTGCAAGAAGATATTAATGAAGAATATATGTGTGTGTATGAAATTTGCAACACACAGTGCTTCCACTGGGTTTTCATCCAGTTAACCTTTTTGTTTGTTGATATATGCATGCATGCATAGCAGGTAAGTGACATTCATCTTTTCACTTCTACTGGCAAATCTGGCTTTCCAGTTTGGTCATGTGCAGCTTCAATTTAGCACAAGACACTAACAAACACACGTGCTTGTTAGTTACCAAAAAACAGGCTGGTGTTTCAGCATGAACAGACTCTCTTTCCACATTCATATTTGTTACCTGGTGGACCTTTGATTGGTGTTTTAGGTGATTCAATATGATCTCTATGAATAGATTTTGGACGTGGCTTTTTTTGTTTGATTGAGAGAGAACGTGGCTTTATGACAGTATCCATTTCTTCCATAAGCTTTAGTTGTTTCCTTCTCATATATTCCTGCTTGATAAATTCTCGCCGTGCTCGTTCATCCTCCTTCTTCTGACGTTCTTCTTCTGTTTTGCGTCTAAAAAACCATATAAAATAAATTCATCAGCAGAAATAGTCCAAATTAACAGTTTTAGCTAGCACAGCGAGGACAACAAAGGCATCAGATTTTTGGAACTTTACAGTTCTCAGATGTCAATAAGAGGAACTTTGTTTTTTTTACAATTTTCAGACAGTTTAAACTTTTTGGGATACTATTACTTGTAAAATCAAACCCATATTTATTAGCTTTACTGCTGTAACCAAGTAAGCATTGTGCATTTGTGCTGAAAGAAGCCCAAAGTTATTCGCTGTCCCTCAAAGTGCAGGGCAAAGCAGCGCTCCAAGAAGCTTCACTCAGGCCAGCAGGGCTCATATGTTGTATCTGAGCTACAGACTGATGCCACCTGCTGATCCTGCAGGACCAGCTGGCACATCTTCAGCCAGGCTCCTCAGCACATCTGGCTCTAGGATTAAATATCCTGGATATTAAGATGCAATTTTTTGACACGGAAGGCACACTTTTAACTAAGACAGACATTTTTATGTTCACTGTTACTGATCATTTGGATCAGGATGTGTAGTTTTACCTTGTCTCTTCCTTCTTATGTTCTAGTTCTGCTTCCAGCTGCTGCTTTCGAAGCAGAGTCTTTTCCTTCTCAAACGCTTCTCCAACAGTGCTGCTCGTTTCATTGCCATATCATTTTCTGCCTTTTGATCATCCTAGCAGCAACAGTATTTGAAGGAAAAGGACCCAAAAATATTAAGATACCCGAATTCAGAAACTGATTTTGCAAAGTCATTAGACACTTAATTCTGTACACTGGGTTGCAGTATCCTAACATACTTCTGCAGTATTTGAAATATATTTATTTTAAAAGATTTTTCTTAAGACTGCTAAAAACTTTTAATAAAGGAATTTTTCTTCCTAAGTCAAACAAAATTCAACACTGGTAGGAGAAAACTTGCTAAGCAAAATATTTTAGTTTAGAGTCAGATTCCACACTGCATAAACTCCTGTATTCACCTTTGGAAGATCCTAAGTGTATGGACATGAAGGTAATTTATCAAAAGCAGCAGTAACTATGCAGCATATGGAAGTAACTTCTGCTGATCAAGCCAGGTGTTTTGTTAGAAGTGAGGAATGCTTCCAGACAAGCAAGGCACATCTCAAATACATGACAGAAGATTTTGGGATATTCCAAGATGAAAATTCAAAACCTTGATGGCTTTCATTGCCAAATTAATCATCAAGTGAAAAAGACAGACTTGTACCTTTAGAGTTGCAGAACCATCTGCTCTGACTTCAACAGAAAGTCATTACTGAAATCCATACCTGCATTAAGAAGTTCCCTTTCAAAGGAAGCTTAATAGCAAACATACACATCCACTAGTTCTCTTACCTTAAAAAAGAATCCACAACACACTTTCTGGTCATCTTCAAATTGTTCTCTATCACTCTCACCTTCATACTTCTCAACAGACACTTCATTTTTTTCTGGTGGCTTCAAATCTGATAGGGAAACTTCAATTAAGTTAGCTGTTTTAGGAGCTGGTGCTGGTAAAATCGGTTGGCTTAGCTGATCTTCATTTGGGGTGAGGCACACAGTTTCTGTGATAGGCTGAGATAATACTTCAGAAACATTAGATTCAATAGGCTTCATCTCCTTTTCCTCCAACTTCCGTTCACACTGTTTTAGCAATTTTGGTCCTTCTTCTTTTGCTACCTCTTCTGTAGGCTTGACTTCCTTCAAAAGATTTCCCCTTAGCTGAGGTTCACCTATATGCTCACCATCATCTCCAAAGCAAACAAATGATCTAGTCTGAATGGGAACCTGACTTGGAGAAAATCTCCTCAAACGGGGAAGACTATCCACAGACCGCGGGGCAGTCAAGGTACGATTCAGAGGTGTTATTTTCAGTTCATTTGGCCTAGGAGTCCTTTGCATTTTAATGTGAAAAGAGGCATTCTTCCTGTTGGAAGACTGTGGAGATTGATGTATAGAGCGAGGAGATTCCTGTGAGAAAGGTGCAATGGGTGATGGAGTTCCCATTTGCCTTGATGAAGACTTAAAGTCCCGAATCTGCTTTTGAGGAGAAGGCTGAGGAGGAGAAATAACCCAAGCCTGCTGCTCTCTCATCTGCATCAACATCTCCTGTTGAAGGGACAGACGTTGCATTTCTTGTTGCAGAAAGTGTAGTGAAGAATTTAGTTTTTCAATAGATTTTGTATATTCTAAGATATCTCCTTCATTAAAATTTTCTTCCGAGGGGCTTGCTAAATTCCATTGCTTTTCAGCATCCATAGGAGTAGCAGGAGATTTTAACCATTTGCTATGAGAATTTTCAGGGTTTTCTTTTATTAATTCTGAAGCCTTACTAGTTTGTTCTTCTGATTTTTGAGTTTCTTTTTCTTTCAACCTATTACTGTCAGTGAAAACCTTCTCATCTTCAGCTCCTGCTGCTTCTTCTCGGAGAGGTGATACTCCATCACCTTTCTTTTTCACAACATTAAGAAATGCTGTTCTTCCCATTTTCTGCCGCTGCCTCGTGAATGCAGCTTCAACTTTCTTCTTCTGTGCTTCAATGGCTCGCCTCTTTTCCTCTAGCTTCATCCTAAGATGTACCATTTCAGAAGCCAGTAACTGCGTAGTGTCTCTTCCTTGAGGAACAGATGCCTCCTCAGGAATATGAGTCCAAGCAACCACATGAGGGATGTTCAGCTCAGAACCTTCTGGTGTGGTTTTCTGAGAACTACTTCCACTGCTTCTACTATCTGTGTGATTCAACTTCCTGAATTTCTGCTCTGCAAAGCTAGTCATTTTAACCCCCGAACTTGAAGAAGCACTGCTGCCTGCCTGTGATTTAGCACTTACTGAGCTAGGACATGGACTTAATTGATCTCTGTGATTGCTAGCTCGCATGTCATAATCCTGGAGAAATTTAGATGGCTCTTCCATGTCAGAGTCCATGCTTACAGTATAATCTCGCAAAGAAGAATCCTCATCCATTGTCTCTGGAATATCTTCTGAAGGGACGTGTATTCCAGTATCTACTTCTGTATTGTCAGTCACAGGACTTAGAGCACCTTTTGTGTCTGTAATTATATCAGGGGTAGACTGATTTGGTTTAATGTTTGAATTCAAGATGCTCATTTCCTGATTGTGAAGAAAGAATCCATTTGTAATTTGGTCTGGCTGGATAACTCTGGGAGATTTTTCAGTGTCATGAATTATCTGCAAAGCCTCTTCAATGCTTGGTGTCTCAATCTGGTTGCCAAAATCATCCAGAACTGCCCTGTTTTGCAGAGCTCCATTTGGAAACCTGTAGTGGCTGCTCTCATTGGCATTTTTTTGATTTGTGTTAAGAGACTGATTGGCTTTTGTGTCTTTATGAGCCATCATGTCCTTTTCCTCTTCAATATCTTCATTTTCCTCTTCTCCATTCACTGGTTTGAAGGACAGATTTTTTCTAAGATGTTTCGGCATGCGGTTAATGTTCTGTGTAAGGCCTTCATTGCTCACAGATCTAGTAATTCCTCTGTTTACAGTAGTTACTGGAACGCTCTTTTCTTTGTCAAAAGAAATGTCAAATGAAACTCCATGTAATGATGACCTAATAGAGATTAGAATAAAGAAAATAACTGAGCAACTCATGATTAATAATAATAATGAAATATTCACAATCAATTTTAAAATTACTTTAAGACTGTGCTATTAAAGGCACTGTTAGTTGTACTGTACTTTGCCTAGCTTCACTCACAAATATAATTAAAAAAATTTGCAATAAAATAGAATACAACAACCTTTTCTTTAGAGATAGCCAATGCTTTTTATTACTTTGGAATAAATTCTGAGCACTTTAAGAATTGCCATAATAGACCAGAAGGAAGGTGTGAAAAGACAGTTAGTTTACACTTACTGAATAACCCACCACTATAACTCTTACCATTTTAACTTAGTTTACACTCTGCAGATTCAGAGTTTATGAGGAGTCTAACTGAAAAACAAAACATTCAGCCTGATTGTTTTTACTATCCACAAAAAAATACAAGTTTAAATATTACTGAGTTCATTAGCCATGTGACTCTCAGCCATGTTAGTTAATTGCATGGGTAAATGTGAACATATTTAATGTCAAAAATTCAAATATCTCAAATATACCTCATTCCAATGAAAAAAATAGATTATTTATTTCTGAAGTTTGTTTCCTATTACTGAGTTCTTAATCCATAATACAGTTTTCTCTTTCTTTTTCTACTTTTACAAGTCGCTTACAGGAACTCTTATTACAGAGTTCTGAAAATCCAACCTACAATGGAGCTCTATTACTTTTTATGATCAATATATAATCACTTTTTAACCAACTTGTATGGTAAGATTACTTACCTTTTTTCTTTGGGCCATGTCCCTACATACCCATCTACATAAGACATTGATGTGGACCTTCTGATGACTCCTAAGAGAAATGAAAATAGAACCCAAGGTAACTGCTATGAAAAATTATTTTAGCATCACCCTCTGTTGCTTTAACAAATTAGTTTGCTTCACTACATAGAACACTGCAATGGCAAAGAAGTGGTTTTATATTAAAAATACAAGTAAAGCAACTGAATATATATTATACCCCTCACCCCTCAAAGAATTTACTATTGAGTAAAATACACTACAAATCTACTAAAATATACTACAAATACTTGTTGAAAGCCCTATTCCACATCAAAACAGAAGTCAAATTTTTAAAATATACACCATATAAGAGGTACAAACACAAACTTAACCACTTGTACATTTTATAAATTACAGAAACCATTCATTAGCCTTTCATGTAAAACTCTCAAAGTAGTTTCTGAATAAATCATGTTTGAATAAATATAAACAGATTGCAGTTTACTCAGAAGATGACAGTTTGTCTCACTGCCTCTTCCACCCATTTGTAAATTGTTACCTGGAACAGATGAGTAAGGCTGCTGGGGTGTATGCAGCTGGTGAGGTGGTGTATAAATTGGACTCTCCAATCTATAAAGCAAGAGACATTAACTTTTAAGAAATACATCAAAAGCCACATAACAAAAAGGCAACCAGACTTCATGTCCTGGGCCAACACAAAAACAGATTTATTTTTTGTGACAGGGACGAAACTGAGGTATAATCCTTTCCTTGAAATACTAATTTATTAACTAAAAAGAGAACACCCTTACTGCCTTCAACTGGACCTAATGCAGATAAGACACAAAAAGCCAAAAAAGTATTTCTCCTACACAAATGGCCACAGAGCAGCATTAGTTTTGTTAACAGACTTGTCTCCTGATTTATTTAATGTAAGTGTCATTATTAGAAGGTTCTCATTTTTAGGTTTGATTTTAGCAAAAAACAAACATGAACAAAATGAGGTAGTTCCTACTGGCCTCAAAACAGTGACTGCAGCTAATATCACATACTTCTCATGCACCTCTCTTTTCAGTTACAAAGTAGAATTTTCACACTAAGCATCTGGACTGCAAAACATGCACTAGAAGTGGATAAAGGAGATTTTGTTACAGACATGGCTTTATAAATACAAGAAATATATTCACTACCAAAACAGTAATTACAAAGGTTTCCTCTGTTTCTGCTTACAACAGATACAATTTTTTTTGTTTCATAGAGAAGATCTGTAATAGACTAACTGTGTTAGTCCAGAATAGGTTTAACATAATTCAGTGTTTTCATCAAGGTGTTTCTTCAGGATCAGAAGAGAGACACAAACATAAAGATGCATGCATTTGTATGTAAAACCCTTCTAAAGAAGTGAGACTTCAAAAACACGCTGGATTAAATCCTTTAATGTTTTGAGTTTTGCTCACTGAGTTGAAAAGCACACTCCCAAACTCCCTTTTTTCAAACAGTAATTTTCAATATATTTGTTTAGTGCTTTAATAGTTTATATACAGTATGGTCTAGAAATGTTTCTAAATAATATTTGTGGGAAGGATATTCAGGTCAATTTAAGCAAAATATTGTTGTTTTACAATCTACAAAAGCATCTTTCATAAGTATATATTAGATTTTAAAAAATACTCATAAATTCCTGATGTTTTGTGTTAATAAATCTACACACTAGCTACATGACAAGACTGTTTTAGATGGCATTTGAGATGCGTGTGAAAATTTTAAAATCGTAGATATAATGTCTATAAGTTATCTTAAAAGAAAAGCATGCATTCAAGATTTCATCCAGCAGCCTGTGAAAATCTGCTACCACAAAGAAAATCTATACACTTCATTTTCTCTCAAAAACCCAGTGATTTTGGCACTGTGACTGTGGTTCTATGGCAACCTCAGACATCATAACTGCTCACTGCCACAGTCCCACTCCCTCCTCTGTGCTTGATCTGTGTCTCCATCCAATCCTCTGAGTCATTTCAACAAGCTAAGCCAGCAGAAAAACATTCATATTTTCCGACTGGGTTAGGTTTTTTTTTGTCTTTGTACATTGAAATGACAAAGTCAAACACTCAAGGGAGCCAGAACGCGCAGTCAGGACAAGGAGGAAGGCCAGGACCACCACATGGTGCTGTCAGCTCTGTTCTGCCAGGGAACCTGCAGCCTGTGTATCTGAGATAACTTCTTAGGCCCCCTCCTTTGCCCTACAATGCAGTGACGTATCACCAAATTGGATGAAGTTCACTGGTTTATGAGGAAAGATATAGGCTCTTCCTGTTACTCATGGATTACTCTCACAAAATAAAACCTTATTTATCACTTACCACATGAAAACAGTGGTTCGATGAGCTAGTACAATACACAATTCACCACCCATAAGGGGTGCACAATGATTTTTACTGTATCGCTGAATGTGACTCAGGAAACATGAGCCATATTACAAAACATGGTGGTGGCAATTTAGAGACTTGATAGTTAAATTTGGAATAGAAATGGCACTAAGAAAAGTAAAGGCTTTTGTAAGTGTTTATGAATCAAATTCAGATGCTTATCATAAAACTTCTAGTTTAACCTCTTCAGTTTAGAGGCCAAAACCATCTGTACAGACAAAATATACAGATTTAGAGAAAAGGTAGATTTATTTGGATGAAAAAAGCTCGTATGTTACTGACAGAATTTGTCAGAGCAGGGATAAATGCATGGCTAACGGCTTCAGATGCGGGGATTTTTTTACATAGTCAAGGCTACAGACAGACTTCTCTTGTGGTGTTGTTCATATTCATCTACTTTCTTTACACTTCGAGAAATTCTCCTCTACAGCGATCACTACAGCAGGAGGATAAGTATGGAACAGAACTCTGTGTTTCTTTAATTTAATTTGTTTTTAAGTGTAACTGACATATGATTTATGGTCTTCATAGAACTCTGAAATGATAAGACACTGAAGTTTTGTTTGTGAAGGGCTCTAAAAGGGGGACATCAGGCTGGAAGCCACATACAAATACTGATTTTTACAGCAAGTCTTTTTCTGTTTTGTAGGACATTCAGTTACAAGCCCTTTGTTGGACTGCTTGCAGTGGCTTTGCAAGGTCTGAATGTCCCTGGAAAGCTCCATTCTCAAAACTACCTTTTCTTGTTCTCCTGGTTTATATGCTCAGTTTACACTAAAATAACTTCATTGTCTACAAGGGAAACACTTCAGATACACATGGGAAAAAGCAATTAAGACTCACAGCATATAATGATAGTAAGAAATATTACTCCCTGATTAAAGTCAACAGATTCCTAAATTTAAAAAAAATAAACAAACAAAAAAGCCCCAAATATCGAAATCAAATACAACCCCCCCCCAAACCCCATCTAAAAACAACAGAAAAGGCTGAACAGGATTAGCTGAGTTGGCAACCAACAATTTGCTGAATATTCAATTATAATGCTAATTTTATCCTTGTCCTCTGTGTCAGTTCAGACACAATCAATAAACATTTAACCCCAAATTATAAATATAATGCAATGCTGCTCCACTATGTTCAGATCAGATCATTGGAAGGCTTTCTTTACCCTGTCAAAAGAAAGATTAAACAGAAGGCCTAATGTGCAATATCTGCCTCTTATCAAATACATCATCAGCTAGAGAACACAAGGGAAACAGGATGTTTTTAATATTGCTTCCAAATCTGTAACAGCGATGCTAAAAGTAATGTCTCACATATATTTATAAAAAACACAAATAATGCAAACCATATTTAATAAAGCAGTTAGCTCTCCATTTTTGATTCCCACAAGAGCTGGCAAGTTCATCATAGCATAAGCAGTTATTTTTACCTATTTGACAGTCATGGTACTTAAGCAACATAATCAGACCGACCTACCCAGTGGTTTTCTTGCTGTTATCTTAGTTTACCATTTTTTGAAAATGTGCTGTGAATTCCAGAAAAATAGCTCTTTCAGAGCAGACTTGGTCAGCAGCCCCACATGAAACTGAAGAGGACAAGAGGTTATGTGATACTTCTCTGATGAATTCTAAGAACTGTTTTGGAAGCTAAATTAAAAACTGTGTTTGATTTTGAATGGAAAGGAGAAGATTGTGAAACAGTACTAGTGATTCTCTGACATTACCTGGCTACGAAGTCAGAACCAGATGGGCTATCCACATAATTTCTTCTGTTAGCATTCAAGCTGTGCGCAGAAGCTGCATCTTTTGCAGGTTCAGCTGCCACAAAGAACAAAGCTCTATTATAGTTTAACATTCAGTTAAAATCTGTAGTAGAAAAACTGTCTGAAATAATCTGAAGTAATGATTTCCAAAGATTTAAAGAATTTTCACTGGTTCCATTATTTAGATTAAAACCCAGTCACTTCCTTTCAGCTTTAACTTCTCCAAAGTTCCCATATGGGCACTAATTAAGGGCATGGAGAATGACAAAAATGGCTAGAAAAGACAAAGGAAGAAATAATAAAGAAAAAATATGAAAAAGAGCTACAAAATTTAAAACAACCAGTCTTTTTAGCAAAAACAAATATTCTTCTTCTGGAAGAAATTTTTCTGATAATTTTTTTTCCCCCAAACCCTTAGACTGACTTTTCAGCTAGAAAATGGTATTTTGGTCATATCCTGAATTAGTTACCAGTATTTTAAAGTTTTAAATCAGATTCGTATGTGCTATAAAGCATACAAATTAAAAAAAGGTATAAAAGCCACACAATGAAAAATCTCTTTCTAGCTCTTGGAGAGACAATCACAGCACTACTGTATGAACGTTTAAGTTACCATGACACTATACTCATTAACAGATCTCAATATATACCTGAAAGGCAGATTTTTAAATTTAAGAATTTACCAGTGGAAGACTGTGCCTTTGTGCCAAGTACAAAAGGCAATTTTACAATTAGCTATCTGTCCACTTTCCCCAGATTTATGTTCCTTTCTCTTGGTATCTTCTCCTCAGCAATACAAGTGCTTCAGGCTTAATTCTGTTCTTGGCTCCTTATTATGTTTGTAATCCCTGGATGGGCAAAAATGGATCCTAGGCTTGTTTAGGTCAGGAAAATTTGCAAGTGATTATACCACCACAATTTAAATGAGTTTTTGGTAATAGACAACAAAATGAGATGAGATGAAGATTAACACAAGGAAAGAGTACTTTGTTCCTTCTTTAAGGGGGCTGTACACTGCCAAATTATGTTAACTAAAATATTCACTATATTTGTGAACACAATGGCCATCTGTACACATCCATATTAAAAACAAGCACATTAAAACCGATCCTTAATGTAATTACCTTGGGGATGCACAACAACGCGAGGTTGTACAAATGGTGGCTTCACCACTTCAAACCACCAGAATAATTCTGCCATGAACACCATGTAGTTGCTCTACAAAAAAAGAGAAATCTCTGTTAAAACACAAGCCTGCAAATAAACAGATTAGGCAGCATTCAGGATATGCCTCTGCATTTCATCCAGTTTACTATCTCTTCTCTACTGATTTCTTAGATCAGTAGCAAGACTGCTCTGTAGCACCATCTAATACACATAACTTGACCGGATTGTAACCGTTTGGGTTGAAATGTTTCATAATAAGCATATGCTCAAGGCCTGATGTCTTGTAGGCAGAGCAGAGAGGGACAGGATGGGTGGAAAAGGATGTCTGTCAAACAGATCAGCCATTTGCATAAAAAAAGAACAGTGAAGAGCCCATTGTTTTGCAAGGCTAGGCAATAAAATTTTCATAGCTTTTTAACATCAAAAACTCTGGTAGCCCTTAGTTTTCGTGTAGGAATTTTGAATCTGGTTTGGCCTTTGTGTTAAGTATGTGCTTTCTGCCACATTTTTGAAAATCTACCCAAATTCACAAGTCTTTAATACAAAACAAAATCCAGCATCAGCATTTGTTCAATGCAGGTTAGAACAAGGTTTTAGCTCCAAAGATTTATGCACACTTAATATATTTTTGATATATCTTTCTGCTGTATTTTTCCATTATGCAGCTACGAAACACAGAGGTGTGGGAGCCACAAGGGGAAGAAGAGGTGAAAAGGAAGAAACAACTGGTGACATGGACTGCAAAAACAACAACAAAAAACACCAAGAGAGAGGAAAACCAGGCAGAAACAGCAGCTTCTACTGCAAAAGTATATAATAAGGAGTGCAAAAAGACCAGAAGATTTGTTGACTGTGGTGGCTGAAGAGTTCAGAGGCCAAATGATCACGGTCCTCAGTTGCTATGGTTCAGTGCTATTTCGTATCTAGAAATATCAACTAAATGAGATCAATGAGCATCCAGGCCCGAGCTGACTCAAGCAGGTGCACAGACTTGTATCACCAGTCTTACAAAATCTGAAAATGTAAACAATACAAACCTCTACTTGTGCTTTAAATTGGGAAACCATAATTAAATATTCTTTTAAACCAGTTTATTTAAAAAATTCTTTCTGCAATAAAACACAATGTCGACCTAAATACTTACAAAAGCAAGTGTCCTTAGTCACTTTTTTCATATCATTAACACTGAATAACTTCAAATATCTGGTTTATTTACTCCACTTTATGCTACTTTCATTTAACATTTCACATAGTTTAAATGGGAAAATAGATATTAACAAACTTATTGGTTTAATTTTTACAAACTAATAACAACATCAAGAGCACCTGCAACTTATAACCTTATGTTGAAACCCAGAAATATGTAATCTTTTTTAAAAATAAAGCTTTTTTATTATTTGGTCATATAAAACTTCCTGTACTTGAGAAGATCAGCATTTTTACACTAAACTATCAGATGCTATCTCTCTTTTTATTTTTCTTTGACAATGAAATTAAGTGAAAATAATCTATCAGGGAAAGTGGGAATTTAATTACTTGCATAAGAGAAGGGTTTCAAAGGAAAACAATGTCTCTTCTAAGTTTTGTGGCAACACAAAGAAATCAGAGATGATTTAGAAAAAGGCAAACGATTATCTTCCTCCCCCCCGTTTTTTAAACGGAGAGAGGGAAAAATCTGCTTATAAATAAAGGATGTTAGCCAAGTACATAATGTTACATGGTATGGGACAGAATTCTTAAAAACCTATTCACAATAAAACCTACAGCTTGCCCTGGTCTTTTCTACTTGCTTTGGCTTCTGCCATTGCAGAACTGCTGTGGGAAAGAGGGTACGGTGCCAGGTGGATCTTTGGTTTGATCAAGGACAGCTGCTATTTTGTTCTGTAGAATGGAGTCAGCTTCTACATTTTCTGTAAGACTGAAGATGATCTTCAGCATAGACTTTGCTATTGTAGATATTAATAGAGCAATCTTTATACACATTAAACATTCTCATTAGCAAAGCATGGGATATTTTTCTAATTTTCAGCCCTTTGTTAGCATTAAGGTCTTCCTTTGTCTAGAAAAAATCTTGCTGCAAATTAAGAACTGCATTTGGGCTCCTGAAATAAACACATACAGTCTTTAAAAATTAGTTTAAACCTACCAAAATTATACTCATTCAATTTCACAGAACTCTCTAGGAAAGAGACCTACGTATCAACATATATGTTACTTCTTTTCTGAAGGATTTTAGAAGAATAAGAGGTTATTAAATAAGAACTAACAAATTATGAGTTTAACAAAAGACCTAGCTGACAGTTCTTTAATAAAAGTAAGACAAATTCTGAGAAAGTAAAACCAGTGATATACAGTTTCTATTTTAACTTTGTCCAATGAAAAAAAAATTTCTGGTTAATTCAGGCATATATGGCTGCAAAGTCTGTAAGTCTCCTGTTGTCCATTCACCAGGTACAGGAGGAAAATCTAAGCAGAAAGATGAAGCTTTTTGTGATCAAGCAGGAAAGGGAAGGAAACTGCTCTGTATTCTGTCATGGGCCTATTAACTTTCCACTGCATAACTACAGAAACAGGCAAAATTTCCTCACATTCAGATTGTTCACACTCAGTGTTTAACTGTATATTTGACCACATCTCGTATACGCCTGCAGAGGATGCACTCAAATTCAAAACTGTATCCAGACTATGCAAGACTTCCATTTAAGACTTCTTGTGACAGCTCCTCTACGTTTTCAGTCCCTCAAATGTCAAATTCCATTGTTGCATTAATTTTGTTGCCTTAAAAATGTGCACCTCAAATCTTGGAGTGTGAGCAAAATTTTGACAAAAATTCTAAACAAAATGTCATTTTATTTCAGAAACAAACCACAGGCATTAGGAATAAGAACATATTTTTAAAATCAACAAACATTTACAACAAGAATGTTTAATAATAAATGAGAACCTCAATTCTGTATCAGTAAATTTGAAAATATAATTTTAAATATCTGTTTGATACTTTTGATTCAGATTTATTTTTCCTGAATATTTCTAAGGTAGATAAGCCTTTACCCCAACAAAGGGATACTCAGACTGAAAGCTGCTCATACACTTTAGTACATGGTAAAAGGATCAGCCAGATGTTGCCATAGTTATTACATACAAGCTATAAATAGACTAGGAAAAACCTCGCCTCTGCTTATTCAGCAGAACAGAACTGAATGAGGAAAGGTTTGTAGCACAGTCTTTTCCATTCAAAGAAAATGTTAAGCATAGCATTTCGGTATCAGACACTGGTTTCATTAGGAAGCAATATAGATAAAGGAAAAAAAACAGATGTACTTCTCAGACAAAATATGATTTTTAATACTAAAATTTCTACAATTTTTCTCTTAATATTTTTACCCTTCCCTTACCTCCCCTCAAACTTTTACATTTTTAACTAGAATTCTTTTTTATTACAAAAAATGAATTATAAAATGTTCTAATCATAGCTTTTGTACCTATCTGAAAAAATATAGTATTTAAATACTCCAATTGCTTATGCTTATGTTGAAATGCTGCAGTTAACAGTGTGACTATTTTATGAAGGACTCGGATATTCCTTCTGAGAATATCTTCTCTGCAGTCCTGAGCTACTGAAAGACAGCTTGTTTTTCCAAAATCACCAGAGCAGTATTTACTGAAGTAAAAATGAAACTGTTGGCTGCACAGCCTGCTCAGAGCTGAGGCTACTTTAGATGCTTGATAGTGAACCATCATGAGGGGAAAAAGCTTTTTCTCACAAGTTATTTTTAGTCAGAAAGGGTTGTTAATAATAATGATCACAGGTGAAGGCTGATTATCAGTAACTAAATTTTTTTGAAAAAATATTATTCCCACAGACTTTTGCCAAAAGTTCTAATAGCTGATTACATGATTATCACATGCACTTATACACAAAAATATTCAGAAGTGTAACACTATTTTAATAGTACTAAAAAGTAACTAAGCTCTGAGCAGTTCAGACTGGCTCAAAAGCACTGAACACCAGATGGCAGACTTGCAGCTTCATAGATACTTTTATTTGTTAAACATTCTGATTTCATTTTTTCATTTTGATATTTGCAGACTGTTCATTAGTTGCATGTAGTCAGCTGCACTACTAGTTACATTTTATCTACTGCATCTTCTGGTGCTGTACAATAAAAATCCTTCTGTTTAACAGATTTGATAAGACCAACTTTTGGAAGAAAAAAATATTCCCATATTCCGAGTATAAAATCTAAAGTCATTACTTGATTCTGTATCAAAGGGATATATCATTTTATAAAATTTTATACAAAAAAGATAAACTATTTTCTTTAATATCTCTATTCCCCCTCCATGATTTAAAAATAATTTTCAATCAAATTAGCTAACAGGGATAGTACATCCCATCTTGCCACTTAAAATAAATTAAATCCTTCTAACATCTACAGGTTTTAGATCTGCATATTTATAGAATAAATAACTACAAAGTCATATGCACAAGTGATACAAACAGTTTGCAATCAGGCTTGAATCCACTAAAACTGAATGGAAAAGCAGCCATAGATACTTTTAGGAATTTTCTAAAAATGAACATAAAAATACATGGTACAATTTATATAATGACGCGCATTAAAATCTCTGTTCAGTAGGCCAGGAAAGTAAGTTACTGCAAATGCAAATCCATAGTTTATATGTTATAGAAATTCCAACATAAATGCATCAAGCCTGAAGAGAACTGGAGTGTTTCAAACTCTCTGGAGAAGGCCAAATTGCAGTTCTGTGAATGATCCGTGCACTACCGGTTTGTCATATCTCCCACCACAACAACTCAAGCTGAAAATTCCAGTATTTCTTATTTCACCCCAGAACAAAGATGTGGGGAAACTGGCTGATTAACATCAGTGAAAGCAAACCATGCTGCTTCCCTTTAAATAATGAGTCAGGAACATTTGGTCCCTCCTAGGAGAGAATTCTTCTCTTAAAGAACTGTTCCCTGGTTGAAGCTTCCTTTTCATTCCTGATCCCCAATCCTTTTAAACCAGCCAGATGGGAATCAAATCCCTGGACTGACTCCCACCATACGTACCTAATTGCTTCACCAAACAGCCAGCTGCTCTCCCAAGTCCTTAAGGAGTCCATATGCACACTTATAGGGACTCCAACGCAAGTTCAGGCTTGGGTTAGCAGTCTGATTAGCAATGTATTTTTTCACTGAGGTTGGAGGGAAGGCTGTACAACACTTATGGACATTGTGGTGCCATTAATTTCTAGGATTTATCTATGTGATGTATTCGGACACTACTTTTCCCATCTCTGAGGACATGGTGGTGATTATAGCTTCTGCTTACACTGTTTGAAAAGTTACCACCAACTTTACATCAGAAAGTGCAAGTGTTCAAAATGTTTGAATACAATAAATATTTTTAGTCTAAAACAACCCTTCAGATATTCTATTCTTCAGTTCAATTCAGTAGTGGCAAAAAAAAAAAAAAAAAGAAAAAGAAAAAAGTTCTGGAATAAGCCTCTCCATCTGGCCTTTGACAGTGCAAATGTTTGTTCTGTCTGCTCTCGTTAGTAACTAAATGCAAAAATAAGGTACCTATTTCACGTGCTTAGTTATGACTCTGCACAGTTTAGAGTCTGGCCTACATTTTAGCTCAGAGGAACGCCTTCCACAGACAAGAGACAGCAATCACCTCTTAAATTTGCTTAATTTCACATTCAGAAAGCTTTAATGCTGAATAAATGTACCTTCTGCATGGATCTCGGTGACTAGACTCTGCAATCATCAGAAAATAGCAGCCAAAGAGAGGAAGCATCCATGCTGAGGGGTAGCACATGGAAGTCTTCCAAGAACCAGGAGGCTGCAGAGACTTGTGGCCCTGCTGAATCCCCAAGAACCCACACACTCAGAAGAGCAGGACTTGGCCAGATCTGTACAAGGCCATCAGCCCATGCTAGCGTCAACAACAGGTTATATAGCCCTAACCACACCTACGAGGGCAGTAGCTGTTATATGTAGACAAAGAATACACGATTATATGTACATACACACCTAAAGAGACAAGTGACCCCTTGAGAGACCTTCTGGACACCCTCCCAAAAGCCACTGGTGGGCCAGTATGACCCCAGTAAAAATGACTGCGTGAGTGTGTGTGTGTGTGTGTGTGTGTGTGTGTGTGTGTGTGAACTGCGTGAGCAAATGAATGCATCATGGTAAGTTTTCTATTAATAATAGCAATTGAATTAATAAACAGTGTTCTAATATTGGCTGTGATCTGTGTCTCACTCTGACTCAATCCTCTATAAATGAAAAGGGAATGTGCAAAAATACGTGTAAATTAAATGAGTAGCAAAAGTTTAGGATCACTGTTTAAAAACAAAACAAAACAAAACCAACTAACCACATATTTCTAAAGGCTCAGATAAAGGAACACTTACAAAAGACAACAGTTAACTGTCTGTCAGTTCATTCAATGCCAAGTTCCTATGTGAGCCTCATAAATGACTTGTTCTTAGGTCTAAACCCTATGGTCCTACTAGAATAAACTGGCATAGAATGATCTAAAAATATCAATAATATAACCAAAGATGTGTTTTTCCTCTTTCAGAAATACTTTCAAAACATATTTTATGTGACAAATGGAATGTGAGATACTTCTTTTTCTTTCTATTTAGGGACCATACATATCCCTTATAACAATCTTTCAGGAATTACACACTCCCTAAGACCTTTATTCAAGCCACAAATGCTACATACTGAATATTACACTGCAGTGCTTATCAACTGTTGGGCCAAACCAATAATGAAGCCTTTACTGTTCTGCAGTTCTACGGTTCAAGCTTCTTGTGATGGCACTTCATGCAAGATCTTCTATCTCTACAAACTTGTTCTTTGGGTAGGCATAATATATGTGTGCCAAGATACAAGAAAACATTTCTTTCAGTTCTATGTAATTTCCCAGATACAGGCGAAGAACAAGATATTAAAAAATAAAATAAATCCTGTCTCAGGATAAAACTGCTTACAGGAGAAGGGAAGATGGAGGATCAAGGCAGAAAAGCAATCTGCACAACTAAAGAGAGATCCAAGATTTTGTATTCTTTCCTCTTATTAAATATGCAGGAGGATTCAGAAAATAGCATTATTATTTTTATGTAATCTCTCTCTACTTGTGTTTGCCTGTCTCAAAGCAAAGCAACCAGGAACCAGGATGGTCCCTTGGTGGTGCCTCAAGCAACTATGGAATGTATTCAAATAGTTTTTCTTTAACATCAGTAGCCCTGCCTTAGTAAACATCACAGTAAAGAACTTCACAAATGTATTTTTCTTAGGGGAGGAGAAATGGACAAGTGAGGAGCAACAAAACTTATTTTCTGCTTCATTTGATTGTGACACATTAAAGCTGTCTAGAAATCCAGACAAAGCTTATTTCTCCTCTGAGCTAAAAGAGAAACTAAGCCAATGGTTTCATCTGCTGCAAAATTTGAGAGCCTATACTAAATACTCTGGATGAGTTTTAAATTACTCTGACTTTGTTTCTGTGCATTTTGATGAGAAAGCCAAAACTGGGCACAAACACCTTGGACAAGTCCTGCATTAAGTTTCTGTATCATATGCCATCTACAACCTACCTTGATTTAACGTAACAGGGCAGTCAGTGTGCCCAGTAAAGAATGTAAGGTATGCACTTTGTACTTGATCACTTTAAATGAAAGAGGCTCTGCTCCCTTCCTTCCCAAGGACTATCATAAAGTCATGATACCTAGTGTAATTTCTAGGACCACACAAAGCACAGCATTGTCATTCCAAAAACTCAGCTGTAATTTTTCTCTTGAGGCTTTTTCCAGTAATGTATCAGCAGTTTGCTTCTTTTTGTCACCACTATGAATATAACAGATTTTTAACCAAAAGCATAGTGTCACCTACTGTGCAGTGTGAGTCACCCTGAAAACGAACAAAGATTAACAAAGACACCTGAAACAAAACTACACGCTTCTATAAATCCTAAAACTCGATACTACGTAAATTTCGTAGACTGAGATAAAGGTAACTTCTACTAACCAGTTTAGTTCAACGTGTAATATTTAAAATACTCATTTACAATACAAGTTTTTTCAAAGTGACTATAAAATTCTTTAGAGAATATGTACACTTATTAAAACTTACTCTAATCAGATGCACTGGAAAACTAAGAAAGAGCTCCTTTAACTGTGAAATTTTGAAAGCAAATTAATTCTCAACACTGGAGAAAGAGTTTGTAGCACTAGCCAATTTTTCCATGCCAAGTTTTAGAAGAAAAACTTGGCAGCCTTTCTTTGTAGCATTCACATCTAAATAAGTATCCACACCACAGCAACTTGTAAAAACATGATCACAAAGGTCTTTCTCAGTTCTAGAAATACTCTAAATCTTTGAAAGAACTCTAAATCCCCTCTAAAAACAGTGTTCAGAAACAAAAAAAAATACCGAGTCTGGAGCATTTTAAAACTGTAAAGTCTGATGCATTAGGATATTGACAAAAACATTAATATACTTTTCGAAAATTGAAGCTTCAGAGTGCACACTGGCTTGAGAAATAATTCAAACTATTACTATAAAAAATGGTATTATTAATTGTCATGAATGAAACTGAAGAATAATGAATTCCATTTATTCCATGTGTCTGTAAGCAGAAAGAAACAATCAAAATGCAGCGAAGGAGTCCTACTCAAGATCATTCAACATGGTTGCAGTACCCTAAGTTGCGAAACTACAGATGAGACTGCAATGCAGCAGGCTTTTTACAAGTGTCTATGCAGATTACTGTATCTGAAATTTAAAACCAGCAAAAGCTGATTGAAAGCAGTCACTATGCAAATCTGCATACACAAAACAAAGCAGCAACAGCTAACTAGTCTAGACTTACGGGCCCTGGTCCTACTGCCCTTACTCACCCTGGCATCTCATTATTTATTTGAAAAGGATTGGGTTCAACCCTACAGGAGACAACAAAGCTGTATTCAAGCTCTGGCCTCTGTGACTCAGTTTGTGATACTTATATGAAGATCATAAAAGCAGTGAAATGACCCAGATATTTAGAAGCCAATTACAACCCATCCGCAATGGATATGCTGACTCCATAAAAATATTATTTCATTCCCTAAAGGCAGGCCAACAAGAATCTTAAGCAAATGAAGAATGTTTCATATAGAAGTCTTAGAGAAACACAAGAATAAAAAATTAAAGTTACAATTAGGCAAGAAATAATTAGATTACTCCTTGTCTTTCCACACAGGCTTAAAAATGATAGAGTAAGCAAAACTTTTTCTGTCTCTCCAAAAGAGAAAAATCTTAGAATTACTGAAAATGCTTAATTGCTTATTCAAACAACTGTATTTGTTGGAATTGTGTTCCTGCTTGTGTTCCAGGCATAAATCTATTAGATTTTTCAATGAAATTCACTTAGAAGTTTATGCTTTTATAAAAATGAAAAAGCTTTTAGGTTAAAACCCATAAAATTATAAAAACAGAAACGAATAAGAAGGCTGAGTAACAATTCCATAAACAACTCTTCAATATTTTGTCCTTTTGTTAAAGCCTTAATAAATTCAAACTAATACAGACCACTATTACATTTTAACAGAAATATCACAGATTACATGCTTTAAGTAACAATTAATTAATAAGAAGATAAAGTGTGAAAGTTTTGCACAAAATCAATACTTTCACAAGTGCTTTTTAAAAAATACTTTGAAATTACTAGAACATAAGAATGTGGTTGTACATGCTGCCAAAATTTGTGTTGCATGCCACAAGAGATGCAACGTGCCTTTTCATATAGCAGCAGAACAAAAAAGGCTAAAGAGATCATGAGCAAAACAGTCCAGTGGATGCTGCTTCCATTTTTATTTTTTTATTTTTCTTTTTTTACCTTTATTGAAGAAGCTGCATAGAGCATATCCTCAAGACTGAAATGGCAACACTGGTTAAGGTATTCCTGACAAAATTCTTGAATCAATTGTAGATTATACAAGCTGTCAGCCAAAGACATTGTCTCTTTCAAACAAATATCTAAAAAGGAAGAACAGAAGCAAAGATTAGATATAGTTACATATTTGCCAAAAAGTTCTTTTCGCTTTGCTGGATTCTGGACCATTTTCTGGATAAATTCAGACTTGATATTCCCCCCCCCCCCCCAAGGAGGCCTTTATTTTTCTATTTTAGAATCTTAAGAAATTACAACTCTACATTTTCTTTGCAGTTTTATATCTTTAGACATTTTTCTAAAGACGAATTTTGTTTTTTCACTATTGCCAAGTTTATTTCTTTCTGCTTTGCCTTTTGTGAAAGTGGAAGTTATGCTCTAACTCCTGCTATTTCCATGTAATTAAAAACCATATTTATTCACTAATTACTTTTTAAAAATTAGATTTACTTCCAGAGCATGCATCAGATTTTATGCCTAAAACAACAGTGTATGACAGAGCTCCACATAAGTTTTAAATTGTTTAGGATAAAAGGTTTCTTCAGACAAGGAATCTACTTTGATGCTAGCAGGATAAGGATTCCCATTCTGAGGAAATCAGATATATTCCAGCAGTGACAGAGAAGCACTGAACAGAGCAGTAAGAAGATGCCAGTCTGGATTTTCTGTGTACAACTATGACCATCCAAGAAAGATGAATCGAAACTGGACTAGTTGCAGAAGACTACTGAGGATAATAATGAGAATGGAAATCCATTTCAGAAGGGGAGACTGAAAAGGCTTGGTTCAGTAGCCTGGGCTAAACAAGAGAAAGAAAATATATCAAAAAGGTAGACATCAGATTAGGAGAAGCTAATCAAGCCAAAGGGCACTGCTGGAAGAACAGCAAAGGCACACAGACAGGCTACAGGCACATTTAGGTGGAGAACAAGAATAAGATTTAACACTATGTACAAAATGAAGCCCTGCAACAGTGGGTAAGAAGAGTACAGATTTTTAAGAGCTAGATAGTTTAAAGATAAAAATGATAAATTCATGAAAGGGATTATATAATTTCGTACAATAGTCAATTTCTTGACTTAATGAAAGAAGGAGTCCTTTCTAGTCCTGTATTCTTTGAAGTGAACCTAGATCTGAAAGTTAAATAAAGTCTTAATGAGAAGAAACAATATATTTCAGACTACAGAGAACTCTAGATTAATATTTTTCTCTTTTTTGTTAATGCATTTTTAAGCATTTTTGCACATGCATTTTTGTTACCTGCCTTCCTCAGTTCCAATACAGAACCAAGTCTCAGTGAAATATAACATGTATCAAAACTTATATTATTTAAATACAGGGAAGGTGGGCAAAGTCTTTTTAAAGTGCTTCTAGTTGCTTCAGTGTACCTTTGAATTTACTTCTGAGACAATGACATGCACATTTATATATCTTTAGGGAAGATGATGCCAGGACGCCTAACAAGAACATTAAAACTAGAGTTCCAAAGACGATATGTGCCTTGTCTTGTTTAAAGTCAGATGCTGGAATGTGCTGGTAAGTATATATATGGTTGTGCAAGAGATACAAGATCTTTCGGACTGTGAGTATTTTCAGCCATGCTCAAACAAGAAGAAGGTAATAAGTGTCACCCCCATTCAACACTACCCAAGTCTGAACTCCTCCCCAATCGCATATGGCATAGTTTGGCTGGAGCATCTCTATAAATCCAAAGTGGTATTTTTCAAAATTCACCAGCCAAAGAAGAATGGTGAATGCATGCACCCGAGTGTCTTTCATCTTCAATGCCTACTGTACTGGAAGCTTCCTATAACATGGTTTTGTATATGAATTCCAGATTTCAGTCCTTAGCAAGCTTTATATCCTTGTATGTATTCCTCTGTTTCTCAGAATGCTTCTGTGTAAGTGTTCCCATGACATCAAAGGTATCACGGACAGAACACAGGCAGAAAATGATGGGTGTTAGCTGCCAAGATGTTTTACAACTACATGAGGCTCTTAGTTGCCAAGAGGAAGATATGGTTTAACCAGACCACCGAGCAAAAAAACAAGGTGAAGTTGCTCATCATCACAGACAATTGCTATTATAGTACAGCATGATACCAATGCATTCTGAACTATATATTTCTGTTTACTCTATAAATGATATAGGTAACTATCAGGTGAACTAAAAGCCCAGAACACAGAGCAACTATTTGCCATGCTGTGCAGTTGCGCAGAGCTCGGCTAACTCTAACCTCTTCCATGTGGTATATCTATAACTTCTCAGATTCACAAGAACACACTTATGCAGCTTCAAGAATAGGAGCTTTCCCAGGTCATTTCAAGTTTCATAGCACAAAGGCAAATGTGTTGCCACAGTCAGATCTGTAATAATGTAGCTTAGTACGTTTATATTAGCATGATAACATAAAGATAAGTACAGCATGGAAGGACACCTTGGTTCCTTTTATTTAGATGTAAAAATAAACAGGCATAAAGTTATTATTAAATCCACTACACTCAAATTATGTCTCTCATGTATCATATTTAAGCACCTTCCTTCACATAGTTATCAAACAGACATTTAAACTTTTATGGACATCTGTTTACAAGCTGAGAGACATGTTAGACATACCCTCCAGCTTAACAATATCTGGACAGTAGAAGTGGATCAGGGCTGCCAGAGCACAACCATCTGTACCATCTTTCAGCAGATTCTCCACCAATGGAATGCAGGGCAGCTGTTTAAGCAATGTTTGCTCCTTCCTGTAACGAGCCTACAATACAGAATAAAGACATTTAGAAAGACAAAGGCTCTGAAACATATGAAGAAACAGATTCACCCTGTAAGTATCTTTTTCACTATTAATAAAAAAGCAGTATTCAATAGATAGCTGAATATTCAGTGTTAAATTTTTAAAACTATCCATCTTATGCCATTATGAATGACATAAGAAACATCCAAGAGGAAAGGAACCTGCAATACTAATATTGAGCCTTTCCTTCAAAACTGCACAATTTTTATGAACTCTGTATAGCATGCTGAATTAAATAACATCATATACCTTAATTAACATTCAACACCCATTGTTATACGATCAGAAATGATCTGCATATAAAAACAATGAGACAAAGCCTTAGCTGGTGTAACTTCAGTTTACTAGCAAGTCAACTGACTCTGAAGTTAATACACCTAAGAATCTTGCCCAAAATGTCATTCATATAACTGACTTAGTGACAAATCCAGAAACAAGGAAATATGCATTTGATCAACTCTGTTCTTATTACTAGCATGTGTCATTATAAGCAGTCATAAACGGTCAACTGTTATGACCATGCAGTGGGCCAGTTATAAAAGGAAACACTTTGAAAAACAGCTTGGTGTATAAAAAGATCATTAGTTCAGAATACCATGATAGCATTTATCTGCAGTGAATATCTTTTTTACAGGTTTCTTTTTTTTTTTTTTGTGAGGGGAGAGAGAGAGGGGTTCTTACTTTAAAAAGTGTTATTAATAATTTTTAGTTTCTTTTCATTTCCCCTGGGAAAACAAATGGAGGTGGAAGAAAGCAATATAGAAAAGTAATACAGAATTTAATTTGTTAATATTATTTATTAAGACTTATTTTTAAAACAATACTGAAGGATTACTTTTCTATTCATACCACAAAACTACTTATGATGACAAGAGTGTTTCTGAGTTAATTTTATACTATTTTCATTCATCTATACACACTGAACTGGAAGTCTCCCTGTAGGGACTCTGAGAAGTCTTTGTGGATGTCACTCTTCCCAGCAAAGCTCAAGCTGACATTTCCTACCTCCTACTCTCCACCTTTTGGCTGTGCTGGAGCAATTGCTGATGGGGCTGCCCAGTAAGACCACTGATTAAGCTACAACATCTCTTTCCTCCTTTGTTTCTGAATGAGTGGGCAGGGCTGGAGGTTTTATGGGTGGGGTGGGAACTGTTCAAACTAGCTTTGCTGGCAAAAAAGTCTGTGGTTCCACAGACTAACCCTGAAGGCGATACTTACTGCCACTGGATTTCTGTCAAGGATCACATTGGACTATCTTTAGTGAATGTCAGCAGCCTCTAATTGGCCCAGGAAGTATGAGTTTAATCTGGCAACAGCAAACACATCAGTTCTAGAAAAATAAAGGGCTCATACTTGGCCCAGAGAACTTATACTTTAAGAAATTAATATTTAAAAAAAACCCCAAGAGTTAGTCTTTATTTCATACTTGAAATGTGCTGGTATTTGTGTGTCAAGTATGCTGCATAAAAATGAAAACGTTGGTCTTTGCACACCTTGGGAAATATTCACTAACACTAAACAAAATCATGTTAGTGGTTATTAATATTCTGTTCTCCAGGTTAGTAATGCTGCCTACTATTTCTAATGATATAGGATAATTATGCTTGCAGTGGAAGTTTGTTCTTTTTCACTCTATGGCTATCCAATGACCACTATGATGAAAATCCTGCAAGTTTCAAATACCATGTTAGTATGTCCATGTACTTCCTCCTTGAAATGACTGAAATTAAGTCTATGAAATATTACAATTTAATTATGAAATAATGATAAAAGCTACAGGATACAAATGGACTCTAACATCATGGTCCAACAGACCCTGTGTAATTCATACATTCTTTTAAATAGCATCTTTTTAATGGAGTGTTCAAAAATATTTGAAATTGATAATACAGTGGTCTTGCACAGTAAATCCTGGGAAAAAAATCTACTGTCACTTTAATGTTGCCTTCATTGGCCTTATGAACAGTGCCTGCAGATGCTGGAAACTGTGTCATATCATTAAAGTGGATGTAGAAAGAGGACTTTATTCACTGTAGAGAATATACCAGGCAAGTTATTTCAGAAAAAATAAATTTATATAACTTGATATGCTAGGTTCATTAGGGCATAACAGGTACCATGTTTCAATTTGGCTGAAAAGATAAAAGAAATTACACTGAAAAAATAAAAGACACTGGTAATTGCACTGCATTTTTAATAAACTTCCATTTGAAGAAACTCTTCTCATTAGTTGCAATGTTTGCTGCTAAATATGGATGAAATAATGCAAAAAAATGAACGTCTGCATTTATTATAAAGCTCTAGTGCTAATTTAAACATAAATGCTAATACAGGCATCTTATTTCTGAGATCCTAAACCAGTCTGATTTAGCATCGTTCAACTTATTCCACTTAAACAAGTCTAGATATAGTCGAGACACTTGCATATAAACAAGGTCAGCTAAAGATGAACCAACAGCATACCGGTTACTCTGTCGTAAGTGCTCATGTATTCCGAGTTAACCACTAATAATGAACACCCTTATGCAGTTACCATATAGTAGATAATATGTTATAAATTTACTTCTCAGAGTAAGTTTTCAGCTGCCTGTATGCTCAGGAATATCTATGTCACTATGAAACACTTGCTCTATGTAAAGGGAAGAGATAAAAAGACTGGTTAAATTGCTAGAGCAGCTTGTGCCACTGCCTTCCTATTATATTACCAGTACCACTTGGGTTTCAACTGTATCTCTTCTAAAAGAACAAGCTCAAAGTAACATAAATACCACTAGTTGAAGTTGTTTATGGACAACTGGCAGGCAAATTGAAGTTAGCTTTTCAATAGATTTAATATTTTATATTTTAATATTATTTTTTTTGCAATGGAAGAGAACCATTAGTAAACTAACACCTTAGGCAAAACCAGAACAAAACCATATTCTGAAACTGCTTTGAAGTAGCACCACCTTATTTTGTAGAAGTGAGACCAAAAAAAGTGCTTATATTTCTGATCACAGTCAATCCATTTTATTTGCATTATTCCCTCCATTTAATTACACTATCTTAATTCCAAAACAAAATTTAAGGACTATACTATGAAGACCAGTGTATTTGTGTGTGTCACAATTGTAACAGATAGCATTACAGAGAAATTGCCTGTATAGCTTAAACTGTTATGAATTTGAATACTGATTAGTCTGCTGAAAAGAGTACTTTAAAACTGGTTTTCCAGACACCAACTGATTTCTGTTGTTACCTACATGCAACTGCCTTATTAGTTTTAATTCTCTTTGCAGTGTATGAACAATCTTTTACTAGTTATGACAACAAATATCTGAGAGACTGCCAAATCTGTTATTTGGTAATCCTTAGATCAAAGATAGATCAAAATCAGTTCTTTGGAATTCAGACCAGAAGTTTGCAATTCTGCATATACCTAAACAGCTGACTATTTTGTTCCCAGACAAACCTGTTGAAGATTGTTCAATCTGAATGCATTTCAAGGGTGAATTACTACATGGTAGAGGAAAGTAATGATAATACCAAGGTGATACAGCCCAGAGAAAATAAGTTTCATTATTATTGCAGATCTAAACAGCTACTTTTTTTTTTCCCATTGCTTTTAATGAAATTATAGTCTCACTAAAAGTAGTGCTACTTTGCATGGGGAGAGATTAACAGCAGTCTTACATCAGCTGAAAAATTAGGGAATTCTAGACAAACGGTGTAATAATTGCATATTAAAATAAATCAGAAATTTTCAGATTCCATGTAGTATCAACAATCAAAAACTATTTCTGCAAGTCTCTTCTTAGAGTCAGTATCAAATAGTACACGTTGACTGAAAGCTTATGAAAAAGTAGTTTGCAAAAAACCTGATCATTTGACGTTAGTAAATAACAGGTAACACTGCCTTATATAAACTCATAGAGAACTTGACAGCTTGAAAAGTAATTCCTTATCCAGCATTGCATCTTATATGTATTTTGCACAGATTACCTTGCAAAAGAAGCTTCTGTATTATGCACATTTTTGCAGAGCAATCTCTTATAAAATTAGCTTGTAGAGATAAATGAAATGGATGATTAGAACAGCATGACATGGACAAAACCATTCCCAAAATAAGCTATTTGATCAAAGTGAAGCAGTTGGGCAAACTTACAGGAACCAGTTTCCAAAACCATTTGGTAGGAGACTTCAGGGGAAGCAGTAGGAAAAAAGAATAAAAGCAAAAAGCAAAGAAAAAAAGGAACAAATTATCAGATTTCATAAATTACTTTTACAAAGCCATTTTCTTTAACGTTCTCAGTTTTGTATAACAGTGAATTGTAATGGTAAGCATTAGTGCACTGTAACTCCTGTGTATTGAACTAATTAGCAGAAATAACACTGGAGAAATATGTCTTCAGTCTTTGTGGATCAACGTTATAATTTTCCCACATGAACAGATAAGATTGTCAGATCAATGCAGTTTTATTTAATGCTTTCACACATCTAATTGTACCCTACATATGCAATCTGACTGAAGAATTCATTTGAGACTTGAAGTCATGATATCACAAGTATCAAAATGAACTCCAGCAGCACATATGGGGAAGCAGGGAAGCTAAAGCAATGAAAAAAAGGTATGAACACACTGTAGTACAGTACAACCAAATGCAGTGAAGTTTGCATTAGTTACTTCAAGCCAAACAGTTATGTTTATAACATTTAACAATATTTTTAAACAATCATATGACAGTTTTCAGAACAATAAGAGGTGCAGGCAGTTATATTATTGCAATGACAAATCACATTAGCATCAGCTGCATGACGTGCAGTGACCTGAAATGTAGATGGAGTTTTGGCTACTGGCAGAAAAATGATCAGAACTGATACATACAATTCTAAACTCATATGTGATCAAAAAATATAACACCAAATTATAAATAAAAAGTTTTACAAATATAAAATTTGACCTGAAAGCTTAATTCTAAGCAAACTAAAGTCAGTGAATTTTTCTGTAACTCTGTACTGTAGTCTGGCATAATACTTCTACTATTAAGAAAAAAAACATTGTGTAGTGGTATTATACATACACACAGAAAACTCCACCACACTATTGATTTCATTGTAAAAATTTAAAAACAAAACAAAAAAAATCAAACCAATTATTGAAGTGCAGGAAATATTTTTTTTTTTAAATGAAGACAAATATTTTCATAAATGAAGATAAATGGAGAAAAAGCCGTTTTAAAACTACTATGGAAAACACTGCTACAGAAGCTTATTATTTTATGTAGTTGCTAAAATACAGCACTTCTATAAAACCCTTAAAACAACTGTAGCAATGAAACAAAGTTTTTATGTAAAAAAAGCTATTGTACATGAAAGAATATGCATTAGTAACATGACTATTCTCAACATTCTTCTTTTCCACTTAACTGTACTGTTACAGAGAATCCCAAAGCCACTTAGAAGAAATGAACTACAAGATGCATGTTCATGTGTGGCTCCAGTCATTTTAGTCATAGACAAGTAAAGCACTTTCCATAGGGTTCAGTCTCTCACTGAAATACAGTCCATGTATGGAAAAGCACATGAATTTGAAAACAAATTATCTTAATTTTCAACTGCAATTAGGAATTCTAAACCATATCATAACACAAGGTTTTAGGGAAGTGGACTGAGATCAGACCAGAGCTGCCTTTGATTCTACTTAACACTGACAGTAACAGTTGTCTTTGATGTATCAAGGTGAAAAGTGTATTTCAGTCTCAAAAGCTCCACCAATATCTATTTAGTGACAGGCTGAAGAACTACCCTTTGGAAAAAAACACACATTTGTTTCAATTCCAAAGACTAGCTCTCTGTAACAGTACAAACTGAACTCAAAACTAGGAATTCAATATATCTTTTCATTAGTCCACACAGCTGAAACTATGTTGAGATGACTATGAATATGCTTCAAGAGGCTGAAAGACTGAAGATAATAAAGCTTAAATTCAAACATACTATAAGATTTATAAATATACACTTTGTAAAGGCACTTAAAGAAGAGAGATAAAGAAAAGCTGAAATCTCTTGGACAACATAATGGAACTTCAATGGCTGTTGAATTGGCACTTTATTATCAACATGAATGAACTTTTTTTCCCCTGGAAATTATTAAAAAACAAAAGAACAAAACAGTGTGCCCCAGGTTGGGGGCTTACAGTTTTACAAGAAAATTATTTAATCTCCCCTAACAGAAAGTTTTATATATGATTATGATAAATTTATCTCAGTATAAATTCATCCTATGGTGCCAAAAAATGGTAGTTATGCCCTTCGTTCTCCTGTCTTCCTTGCACCATCATTTGTGTTCATGCAGCTGTGCATTAATTGCATTAATTGGATCAAGAAGCTAATCCTGCTGCAAACTTTTCTTCTTGACAGGTTAGCTTTTGCTAGCAGTGTGGATTTATGACACATTAAATTGAAAGTGGAACTATGGCGTTAGAGTTTTACTTTCACACATGAAGTTGCACTGTTTAAACTAATTTTTAAAAATGTTTAAAGAACTCAGGTCTTTGGATGAACACTCTTACATTTGTTTCCCTCATAGGATTGGAATTGATTTGGCTTAAATCCATTAAGACTGATTCAGTCTAAATTACAAAAGCAGTTGGAAAAATAACAGGTTTTTAAGAAAGCTTCGACTACATTGAAAATCATTGGTTTAACCAGTGCAAAAGTACATTCACTACATATTATTAAATGAAAGCTTGAAAACCAAAGCTATTCACTACAAAACTTGAAATCCTAATTCTGAAAGAAGATGCAAAGACTCTACCAGAAAAAGACGAGGTTACCACAAATCACCGGCTGATCAAGATCCACAGAAGGCTACCTGGAACTAAAAATCATACATTCTCCTTCCTCTCTTCTACAGGAAGCTAGCAGCAGAAGAAAGTAAAGGGAAACAAAAGCAATCTCATAATCTGTTAATACTGTTTTTATCTATCCAGAAATAGAAAACGGGTATATCTTCTTATCAGTTGTACCATTTATTAATCTGTGTATACGGCGCTTATGATTTTTTTAAAAGGAAAGATTTACTATTTATTGCAAAAAGGTTCACTGCAGATTTCTAGCAAGATAGTAAGGCATTAGTTTGGCAGGCTTGAGGATTACATTGAAATTATTTTTCATAACTGATAAATGTTGGAATTTATCACAGTAGAAAATTATAAAATAATTAAAAAGTCAACTCATTAACTTCGCTTCACCTTTTAGGTATGTAACTTTGCTACTTCTTGGTCAGAAACTAAAACTACGGAAAAACTTTCCCTAATGACTAGAGTGACCTAGTCTTCCCATGTTTGGCCATCTCTCTAAATCAGCAGAAGAGGCATTCCTAATTCAAATTTAGTTCGAGTTCAAAACCTGATCACATCTTCAAAACTCTGAAACTTAAAATATCCAAAATGTTTGGCTAGAACAGAGGGGAGATTGCAAATGGAATGGAATGGAATCATCACCTTTTGAACTGCTAACTATACAGGTAACGTGGAGAGCCTAAATTACAGAAGAGAGACCCAACCTGGAAAGGATGGTGGAAGACAGAAGAGAGGCACAATGTAACATTCCACTTCCCCTTCATGCTAAGTTTTAAAATACAAATCGAAGCAGTAGTTAGGAGTTTAAAAACATCAAAGAAAGAAACTAAAACAATTGAATGCTGATACCCAGAATTAAGCTACAACTGTCATATGAGCATAGAAAATGCTATTCTTAATAAATATATAAAAGTATAATTTAGTTTTTCCATAAAAGGGATAACTGTGTAATAATATTGCTTTAGTTAATACAAAGACAGAATTCAATTCCCCTCCACCTTTTTTTAATTTAAGAAAATCTACTGATACTGATAACTAAACCCAGGCAGAGAATGAAATTAAAACAAATAAAGAACACCACCACGCTAATTAGTATTCAGCTAAAATTATATACATATTCCAGCAATACCTAAACCTGGTATAGGAATTCAGCTACAGTTACTTCACAGCTTTGCTGAGATATATGAGGTAGGGTAAAGTAACAGGACGCATCACTGATTCTGTGGTATAAAAAGAAGAATGAATGGACTGATGCAATATGGAGACAGATAATCAGTGTAAAACACCTGGGTATCTGGGAATAAATACTAGGAGATGCTTGACAGGAGCCACATCAGACACTCCTGTTAGAAATTCTGACTAATTTGATCTGATGCACTTGATCCACCCAATGGATCTGTGTTACAGTTTTCTTTGGAAAGCTAGCATTCCATATGATCTGCAGTTAAGAAATACAAGTTTTAGTTATGGTGTTTAATGTTTCTAAATCTTAGCTGCTTCCATGTGTGCAATCACCATTAGCTTTAGCAAAAATAAGTGGAAATTTGGGAAATACTGTGAAGCATATGACAAAGAATAGCTGAGATTTCAGAGTAAATTAGACATCAGTTGAACAGCCCAGTGTCTCTCAAAGAAAACCTGGAGTTAGATGATCTGAATGAGTTGAAAATATGTTGCTGTCCTCCTGTGTACAAAATAAAAAGTTCAGTAATTCAAATTCCTTAAATACTTCAAAATAGAGTTCACTTAATATTTCATTTTCTAGACTTATTTTCTAGAAGCAGATTCAATTTTATCATTATATTCACTGAAACTTCAATGTACAAATGATGTTTTTACTCATTATCAAAGTAATTTTATCCTCATTCTTCTCATGTACTTAAATGTGAAGTATGGCTAACTTTCTAATAGCCTTTTTTTTTTTTAACCGTAACCTGCAATAAATTTACTGTCAGAAGAGACGTATAGGAGTCAGCTGGAGCCTGAGGCTTTGTCCATGCTGAGATTTTAGCTAATAAAGCTATGCTAAAACAACCCCCTAGCATGGAATATCTTACTTGAAAGTTTAATTTATGCAGCTGAATCCCACACTGAGGCAAATAACAACATGTACCTGGGATAATAGTATCTAAAATTCAGTGTACAAAAGACAAGGTCTTAATTGCAATTCATGATATGGCAACTATAGCATGATTCTGCTATTTTGCAAATGCATTTGTATATTGGCCAACAGAACAGGACTCTGATTGTGTTATAGCTTCACAATTCATATGAAAAACACCACAAATGCATACAGCATTTTTATGTAAGTGTTTTACTCATAGAATCATTGAATGTTGTGAGTTGGAAGGGAGCCACAAGGATCGTTGAAGCATTGTCTAAATGCTTCTCGAAAGTTGTCAGGCTTGGTGCCATGACCACCTCCCTGGGGAGCCTGTTCCAGTGCTCCACCACCCTCTGGGTGAAGAATCTTTTCCTCACATCCAACCTAAAGGGGGCCTGGCACATCTTCCTGCCATTTCCTCTGCTCCTATTATTGGTCACCGGACAGAAGAGATCAGCGCCTGCCCCTCCTCTTCCCCTTGGGAGGAAGTTCTAGACTGCAATGCGATCTCCTCTTAGTCTCCTCTTCTCCAGGCTGAAGAAACCCAGCAACTTCAGTCTCTCCTCATATGGCTTCCCCTCTAAACCCTTCACCAATTTAGTGACACTCCTCTGGACACTCTCTAGTACTCCACTGGGTCCATTTATGGGATCAGTTACAGACTATACACGTCTTTCAACAGTTGATTCAAGAATGCTGACATTACAAATAAACTAAAAATTTTACCTTGCTATTCCTAATATAAGTGAAAATAAACATTACAGATTTTTTACAAATACAGATAATTTTATGGCATTGCTCTGCTAATAATGTTCCCTTTCATATATCTTTGTTTACCATATTAAGACTCTCACACACTTTGGATTTAAAAAATTATTCTTATCTTTCAAAGTGACCTAAAAACACACAAAACTTCCTATTATTATTTTCAGAAAAAAGAAAAGTCACTAGAGGACAAAGGATCATAGGTTATCTCCCTACCCCCCATTTACTTTGTTTTATCTAAACTTAAGAAATTAACTTGTCAGGGACATCTTATTCCCCAGATTTCCATGCTTTTATCACTATTGAACACAGATTAAACTTTCCATATCAAGACTTATGCATCGCAGTCACAATACTATGGTAAAAAATACCATTTTCTTTTGCCAAGTCAGATACTTACTAATTAGCCTTCATCATTCCTTATATTAAAAAGAAACACAAGTGCAAGGACACTCACTGCATTCATGCTTTTTGAAGCTGAAATTCTAATCTAGCCAGGTAATCTGCAACTCCTTCAGAGGAGCACTGAAAAGGAGATAGCTGCTTACGCAAAAACAGACCAGGAATGGAACTAGGATTACAGTCTTGCAGTAGCTAGGAAATCTGTTCTGCATTCAAGGGCAGGAGTAATACAAAAAGGTGTTCAAACTGATTACCAGTTCCCCAATAATAACTATTATTATCACAATAGGATAAATAATCTCATTCCGAAGCAAGCAATTTTACATACTCTGGAACTGTATGCTATCCTTCCATATTTTGATGGGTATAATGCTACTTAATTAACTGAGCTCTGCAAACAAAAGGAAAAAAATCCTGTTATGAAAGGGAATCAAACATAATCTGGTTTTATTGTATATATAATAAAACCTGTAATCAACCAGTATTTTGGATCATAGCCAGAGTAATGCTTCCCATGATGCCACATACAGATTTCTCTTTTGAGATATATGTAGTTCACAAGGTAAAAACATTAGAAGTTGTGAATAAAAATGTGGTGGTATTTTTCACATCAGATCTCATTCAAAAGTATTCATTAATCTTTATAAATTCCTTAGGACTAACATAACAGATGCTTCCCTGATATCAGAAATTTATTTGTCAAAAAGGACAACTTGGAAAAAAAAGTGAAACTCCATTAGTGTAATATTTAAATGGATATTTTCATAGAAGTGATAACATTAATAACAAAATTACTGAATACTAAAAGCTTGCTTTCTTTAACAAGCAGTTAAAAGTTCAATGTCTGCAAATGTATATTTACCTATATATATTATATGCAAGTAGTTTTTGTTTACAGATAAATGCTTATTCTTTAAAATATTTTAACTCCTACACATACCTTTTGACCTCCTGCAGATTCTGCACTGTGATGCTCTTTTAGTTTTTGTTCCTGTTCCATTATGTCTTTCAAATGTTCATTTACCTAAAGACAAAATAGTTTACTCTGTTATAGCTATTCTGTTTATTCAGAATAGTTCTGAATTCAGTTTATTCTGAATAGTTATTCAATACTGGTTTATTCTAAGAAACAAGTCATAGAAATTGCAAGTTTTCAAAATGTCTATAAATCACTACCACTGAGTTAACTGCAAATATTAAACAATTATCTCAGACTATAGCCCTGAAGCATAATCAGCAAACGTCAGTTTCAGATGCAGTCTGGGGTCACTAGTTGTTACCTTTACATTGCACAAACTAACCCGCTCCTTATTATGCTCAATTGCATTTGATTAACAGTGTATCCTTGTTACTTGATTGGATTATGCAGTAAAGGTAGATCACTTCAAACAAGATGCACTCAAATACAAACAGAATATTTTGGTTTTAAATCATGATAAAATTACACACTAAGACAACAACTTTAAGAGCCAAAAAGAGACCCTCAAGCAGCTGTCATGGCATTGCAACATGACAGTGACTGCTAAGATATCACATGTATGTTATAGATTTTATTCAGACTTCACATTTATCTGGTTCACATAACATATTTAACTTATTTCTGCAAACTTTGCTTTTTATTATCCATATACAGCAGATAAAGGAACAGTGTCTATCAGACACAGCCTTGATATACCTACACATATATATACCCTACCCACTCATCTCAAATCACAGAATCATATAGACTACAAAGAAAATCACAGCTTGCTTTTCCAGTACTCATACCTTGTTTATCCAGTACATGACAGCATCCTCAATGTCATAAGGTAGATCTGTAGCTTGGAAGAAGGATGAATACTGCTGAGTGCACGCAATCACTTTCTCAACGCTGATCATCTCTACGGTATATGCCATCATGAGAGTATCGATCATGGCCAAGTGAGCACTCTACAAAGAGAAGCAGAAATACCTAATTAGTTTGCAAATCAAAAGATCACTTTCTTACTTATAGTTTCTGAACATAACCACATACATGCAAAGACCAAAACTGTAAATGCTACAAGTTTTCTGTCTGGCTGTCAAGTTTTTGAATGAAAGACAAATGAAGACAAAGACACATAACAGATTTGAGAACACCATACAAAGCACAGGGACATTAATTTTAAAAATGCTTACTGCAAATCAAAATAATTTCTGTAAAAAAATTAACAACAAAAATAAAGAACTGGAAATTGAAAGAACAGCAAATTTTAATGATTCAAACATATTGTCACTAGAAACAGAGCTAAAGAGATCTTTTAAATTTGTCACCCAAGCGAAAAACAAACCAAAACAAACCCTGTCTGATCAATGTTAGTTGTACCGGAAATAAAAGTTGAGACCGCTTGGTAAACAACCTTCATCATTATGAAAATGCTGCATTAATAAGTGGCAGTTTATCTATTTTTAAAGTCATAATCCAGGAAGAAGACACGATTATACTGATCTTAAGTAAAAAACACAACATAAAAGAAAATATTTATTTTTCTTCTAGTAAACTAATTATCTTATGCAGATGCAGCTATATTTGCACAACTAGGTTTAAAATAAGCATATATTGATAAATAAAACACAGCTTTTGTTCAAAGAAGAAGTAAGTTTCTCCTGCTGTTGTTAAGCATTGAAAGACAATGGCTATTTCACAGTTTGTAATTAAAAAACCACACACCTGCCACCCCTCCAAAAAAAAAAAAAAAAAACAAAAAAAAAACCAACCAACCAACAAACCAACGAAAAGAAAAAAGAGGATGACAACCAGGATTTACATTAGATTCCTGTGACTGAATAATAAAATGATGGTGGTTTGCAGAGGCAGTGTCTACAGTTAAAGAGATTCGTTCTGCTTCATGATAAGTAGAATAGCAACAGCTTTCTAAGTATTAAGCGACATTTCCTGTGAACCAAAACAATTTCCAAAGACAGTGTTTTTTTAAAACATTGCCTTTAAACACAGCTCATGATGCAAACCAAGATCCCAAACACTTGTTAACATCATCACTTCAATTCTATAAAAAATATTCATATAAACATCTCACAAGGTAGCTGTGACAGCCATGGTAACAGCAATGAACAACATGAGTCACACAGCAATATGTTATCCAATCATTATATTTAAGGTAGTACATGCACATCATTTATTCCCAAATTCCCAGCAGGAAAAAGATGAACAGATCCAGACTTTGTGCTGCCCTTAGTGTCTGTATCACTGATGCAAGTGATGATGCTGGCCTCAGAAGCAGACAGCAGCACACTTTTTTTTAAAAAAAATGCAGTTAAGTTGCTTTGTTTGACAAAAAAGGTAAAGTATGCTTAATTTATCTACTACCTAAAGGCATTCACAGAACTGTTCCTGACAGCCAGTGTTCCCAGGATGAGCTTATTCTCTTTGGGCCCTCGATGTGACTTGAGAGCCTCCTGTCTCCACACTCTCCATCTATGGTCCTAGCACAAGTAGTGCAGCTAGGCTCAGAACCAGTGCCTCTTCACTCCTGCCACCACTGACTGACTTCTGACAGACTTACTCAGAATAAACTCTTCACCATATTCATCTGTCTACTTAATTTATTCACAGACCTTTAGTGGACAACTACTGATACAAGCTCTTAGGTGCAAATGAAGGAAATTGCAGGGGAGTTGAACTTTTGCTACCCAAAGTACTTAAAAAGGAAAAGGTAGATAATATTGCCCATGACCAGCCCTCTGAGGAACCTGCACTCCACCGTGAAATACAGCAATTCCATACAGAGACACCAAAGAGTCCCTCCTTTGTTGGCCCAGCAATACAGTGCAGAGAAGGAACCCAGGCAGAGTATCACATTAACTACTAGTAATGTCCCAGAACCTTGTGAGGGATTGCAGAGCCTGGGTCAGCCATGTGAATCCACACAGTTCTGCAGGAGTTTCAAGCTCAGATTGCAGAAGGGTAGTTTAGCAAGTGCAAAACTGGAAGGAAGGAGGGAAGACCTGGATCATCTCTGACATCCAGGGGTCATTGCTCTAACAGTCTTTCCTTGCCATATCTTTGTTGCCCAGTGTGGCTTTTTGTTTTCTTTTGTTTGATGGCTTTAAAAAAAAGAAAAAAATAAAGAGGTACAAAGAGAAAACCATTAAATTGCACATACAGCTCTACTGGTTTTCTTCCACTTAATCTGGAAAGAGTCAGACAAACTGCATCCTATCACATCTTTTAATTCACTATGCTCAACAAAAAAGACTAAATTAACAACTGTACTACAAAAATAATATCCTACTGTTCTGAACACAGGGTTTGTTAGCATAACTGTTGAAGTACTCTAAAAAAATTTTAAAAAGAGTTCTACTGATAGCAAATAAAGTTACATTTTTTGCTCATCTCTCACTGATCAGTATATTTTAAGCATAGATAAAAAAGCAAGGGAGAGTGGTCACTTTTACTAGTTGGATATGCAATTATGACTGAATTATAATTGGCACAAGGAAGTAACCTTTCATATCTGAGGGGGAAATACAAAAACGTTCTGAGCTCAGCAGAAACTAGGATCAGCTGCTCAGAAATATCGTCTTTCTCTGGACAAGCCTGTAATACAATGCCTGAAGGAACTCCTCAGGAGCTGCTGATGACTGGTACCAAGATGGTACTCTAAATGCTGCTATTTCCTCCAAGATGTCACCATTCTGACATGCAGCATAAAAAAAAAACCCCAGGCAGGATTTCATGCTGTTGTGTACCTCCCACATCCAGAACTGCAGCAAGGTATATTTGAATAAGGACACAGTTTCAAAAAACCCCAATTTTTTAGAGAAATAATAAAAAAAATCAGTAACATTAAATTACACAGTGTACAAACCCATTAGAGAAATATCTTTTAAAAAACCCAAGCAAACCACAGTGAACAACACTGTTTTATCACAAGACTTTGTTATGCAGAGATTTGGTTTGAGCCAATTCAAAAAAATCTTTTCATTCTTTGATAATTTTCACTACAATGGTGCAAAGTACTAAGGTCTTACATAGTACACTACTAT